ACGAGATGAAAAAAGAACAGCACAACCGAAAGACATGGTACAAGATATACAATAAAGCAACACCTTGAAACTATTGCTAAAGTAATATTATTAAGTCTGACATGTACTCTGTGTTACCTGAAGATACGAATGTGGGCTTTCTGTATGGAAGTGAATCTCTGAGTACCTGGAGCATCTTCTGATCAAGCAACCTATCGATCCTTTACTCACTCACTGAATTACCTTCACACATAGCTTTGCACTGTAATTTTATTAAAATAAACAAATATACTGCATCTGACCTCAATGTTTGTAGTTTGCAGAGGGGAGACTGAAGAAACCCACTGAGCTCCTTCATTCCAGGGTCCAGGTCGCTTCCTGCCAGGTCCAGTTCTGTCAGATGGGATGGATTAGACTTCAGAGCTGAACCCAGAGAAGCCCAGATGATCTCTGAAAATCTGCAGTCAATCAATCTGAGTAAGGAATAAAAGATTTTAGCTAAATTTAACAGATTAAAACTTTTCATTAAAACATTCCACCAGAAAATGTGACCTTGGCTACAGATAGCTTGGATAGATCTATCTACAACGTCGACTCTACAGCGAACTCTTCTCTCCTTCCAACTGCTCGAGTCACATGCCAAATGGGCAAAACAATATAAGCAATGGGATTTGGATGCTTGAATGGCCTTTCAGATTTGTCCACCATCATACCAAAGTTCTTAGGTCTTTTAGAATTGTGAGGTAAAGCTAGTATTACCAATGTATTCAACTGGTACCTACAGAAGCAACCAACCCTGGTATGTCACTGCTTAGAGTACTACAACATGGGTTTGTAGGTGGCGCATTGGTTAGCTGGCACGACCCATGTACAGAGGCCTTAGTCCTCGACGCAGGCAACCCGGTTTTGAATCTGGCCTGTGGTCCTTTCCCACAAGTATCTCTCTCTCATAACCCCTTTCCTGTCAGTCTACTGTTAAAACAACAAGCCACTAGTGCTGTAAAAATGTAAAAAAAAAAGAGTATTAAAACATGATGCATGTAGTGAAAAAATTATAGACATTGCTTAGTTTGATCTTTTACGTTTATATTTTTCACATTTGTAATGTAACTGATAATAGTCAGACACAACGGCAGAAATTAAGTGCTTCGGTTAACCATTTTATTTTTACTTTGAACCACAATAGGATGTTTCTAGGAAGCTCAATGTCCTCCCTGTCAGCTGTTGTCCAGAGTTCAATCAGAGCTTCAAGTCAGTCAGAAAACATCAGGAGGTTAAACTTATGAAAACTCATGTCAGTCAGAGCGGCGGGCTCTGCAGGAGCAGAAAGATAGATTTAAATTATGGAAATTTCTGCTGACAATCATTGATCATCCGTTTTATCATTTCATTGAATTTAAAGATGTTGATATGTTGCATCATTCGAATTTGATCATGTATAATAGGATTATTTTCTCAGACATGTTTTCTTTATGGCAGGGAACAAAGTGGATATAGGAGCTTGTTTGATGGAGAGTGGGGGAAGTGGGAGGAGGAGCTCACAGTTTTCTGACCATATTAGGATCATGTTAATATGATCAGGAAAGATGACCCAAAAAATTTTAGAATCCTGTTTCGCTGAAAAAGTTTGAAATATCTGATGTGGGTTTTTTTCCCCTGTGTTTTTTAAATAAAAGATTACGTTTCCTGGACCCATCTTGTTTCCCAGCCATTTTGTTACCATGGAAACAGGAGTCAGCCATAAATTGCCAGGCATAGTTTGATTGGAAAGCTATACATGCAGTATCAAAGCACAAACGGACTGGAAATCTGTCCAGTGGGAGTGTGGATATTCTGGATTCAAGCTGGGAGGCCGGCTCTAAATGAGTCACGTCAGCCTTCTTAGACATGAGGCCCAGGATCTTCAATGTTCTTCAAGTCATCAAAAGGCCTAAGCCACTTTCTAACAGATTCTAGTCTTAGCTTTCATGTCATATAGTCATCATGTTCAATATCCTCTGAAATCTAAATGTTGTTCAGCCAGAAATGATCTCTCAGATAGAAAAGGAACAGGATAAAGTTAACAAGTAGAGAACTGGTATCACTTCCTGGTTTCCACAGTCAGAATCATTTACTTTAACACATGTTAACGCCAAACATCCAATGAAATAGGATTATTTTGTCACATCTTTAGAGTTAATCTCATTTAGAAATTAAACATTAAGTTAGAATAAATTAAATTGCTTTAAAAGTTTAACATCTCTGATTGACCTTTTTACTTGAAGCTTTTTCTTAGATGTTAACCCAGAAATAAAACGCACTGCTTTTAGCTTCATTGATGAACACCAATAACAGTTTTATTCTCTAACCCAGAAAGTAACACAAATTCCACCGTTCCTTTTGAATGAAATCACTGGCTGCTTATTTAAAGGACAAACTGTTCTTCACACTGCTTTTTCTGCTTCATTCATTCAACAAATTGTAAACTGGACCATTAATTGGGTTGGAAATGTAATCATGCAGTATCTGTTGATCCAATAGCCTATTAATCATTTGGTAGCTCAGTGATCTACCTTCACACTGATATTTAAATTAGAATAAACAAATATACTACATCTGACCTCAATGTCTGTAGTTTGCAGAGGGGAGACTGGAGAAACCCACTGAGCTCCTTCATTCCAGGGTCCAGGTTGGTTCCACTCAGCAACAGTACTGTCAGATGGGATGGATTAGACTTCAGAGCTGAGCCCAGAGAAGCACAGCTAATCTCTGATAATCTACAGTCCTCCAATCTGGGGAGAAAATAAAATATTTTAGCTGAATTCAACAGGATGCAGATTAAAACTTTCCATTAAAACATTCCAGCAGAATATGTGACCCCGACACGTGATAAACACTAGTCCAAGGACCATTGGTTATTTTCCTCACTAACACTGTGCTGGCCCAATCATACAGCATCACTGAACACATTGTCTCTTTGGCCAGGGTCACTGAATATAGTACAGCACTGGTACGCAGCTGCTACCAAACTGAGATGTGTCATACTCCCAGTCCTGGGTGCAGGCTGGGTTTTTCCTTTTTTTCTCTCTCTGCAGGGCTGGACAGGCAGGTGCTCCTCATCAAGCTGATTCCCACCCTTTTTAAGGAGCTGGAACCAGGAGGAGGGTGTCAGTTCGTTAATGCTCCAGCGTTGGTTCAACTGATCCAGAACCAAGCCTAGCATCTTAGCTTTGCCTGAATCTAACCCTGTCCTCTCTGCTCCCTTCTCCTAGAATCCAGGATCCCAAGCCTAGAAACCACTCCAGAAACCTCTGAGCTTTGGACCCCCGTTAGAGGCGTTTTCAGTCAGCCTCTAGGAACCAGTGAGGCTTCTGGCCTCAGAACCATAAGAAGCCCTCCTGCCTGAGCTCACCTGCCTGTCCACCCTCAGACACCACCATCTGATCTCACCAACCAGACCTGCACCAATAGTCTGGACCACTGGACACCATCCTCCCAAACAGACGCCAAGCCTTACTCTCTGTGAGTCTCACACATCCCTCACTTCTCTACCTGCACCGAACTGTTTCTCACCTGTCACCAAACCTCTTCCAGCAGTATCCTGACAACCCTGCCTGCCAGTCTCCTCTCTGTACACCACAAAACTTCAATAAAACCCTTAACTGATCATTGCCTCCGTGATTGCTCCTATTAAGAGTCTGAAAACCCAAACATGACAAGATGGAGATAAAGCCCAGAGGAGTTGCTAGAAACTACGGGAACAAAACTCCCTGGACCCAGAGGTGTAAGAAGTTCTCACCTTCTTCACTAAAGTAAAAGTACAGATACTTTTGTAAGAAAAAACTGACAGAAGTCATTTCCTGAAGAAAAAGATAAGGAAAAAAGTTCATTTTCTACTTAATTAGAATTAAGTGTTTGCCTTAAAAGATAAAAATAAATGTTAAAAATATGGTTCTTCAAAATAATTTCCCTGGTAAGAAACTTTTGTTGATAGGGAGAAAATAAAAATACGGACTGGATCTAGGTTGGTTCTAGATTAAAATTTCAGACAGCATGATATAGATTGAAATGAATAGAAGTGCTTCATCAGCAGCTGAATCCTTTTAAAGCTCTGCTATTCACAGCATTAAAGCTGAAAACAGAATCCACATGGACAATAAAGGGGGAATTGACAGGGAATGTCTGTGTGTCAGAATCTGACCCATCATCTGTGGTGTTTTCCAGCCTCCTGTCTTCATCCATGTCCCTATTAGTGTTTTTCTACAAATTAACTGGTCTCCAACTGGACAGATTCTCTTCCTGATTTGCACTGTTTTGATTCAGCTCTTCCGTCATGTCCTTATCAATACGGGGAGTGGAAATTAGCCAGTTTGAAGAAAGAAAGGAGTAGGAAGTCCAGATATTTGGGTTCAAATGTAGGAAGTACAAGGAAAAATGATTCTGAAAAATAAATATTGAAGTAAATAAGTCACAAATAAAAATCTGCTAAGTTCAGTAACTAAGTATTTGTGGCTCCAAGCGACTCTGACAGCTGACGGATTAAAGGGGACGGGTTCTCTCTGACCAGCTCCAACAGAACAGCAGCTTAAGGAAAAAGATTTCATGTCTTAGTCTTTTCTTCCTAAACATTAGTTTTTAGGTAATCTCATTTTACTCTAGTTATTCTAACATGTTTGTGGTTCTGGTTCTATTCTAGAGGAACCAAATGTCATTCTAAATGTAAAGATCTGAATCAGAAATGAGAAATAAAGCCATCTTATCTTGTCTCATCATCTGAATCTTTCCCAAATCAAACTGAAACATCTCTGTCATTACTTAACATAATTTGACTGATTTTCCTAATTTTTCTCTATCAATCCAAAACAATTGAAAGACAACTGGAAAATGAAGTTCAATATTTAAAACATCTAGAACAGGAAAATCATTCATTTACAAGGTAAAAAGTCTGAGAAAGTGCATTCTGACATTTGTACAGCATCTGTTTTTAAAGAAAATATATTAAAATAAAATGATGAATTAAAATCAGCATTAAAGTATCAGTGAATGATTTGGTTTGAATAAACAGAGAAAACTCACCTCAGTTTCTTCACTTTGCAGATTGAACTCTCCAGTATCTCACACAGGTGCTTCATGTCAGAGTCTCCAAAGGATCCATCTCCAAAGATCGTGTCTATTTCCACTTCAGTCAGATTAAGGTTGAACTTCAGAGCTGAGGCCACAACTTCACATTCAGCCTCATAGAGAAAACAGCCACCAAGTCTGTGATTAGAGGAGAAATAGAGTCAGTTCTAATGAAATCAGACAATCTGGATGATAAACACAGACTAAAACATGATGAGCAAACAGTGATGTCATCATCTGATTAACATGTGCTCTCCGCATCAATGTTATGTGTTTGACACCACAGAGAATCTCTTCAGTCACTTCAGGTCCTGGTTCAGCTGCAGACCTGCTGTGTCACTGCTTTGGTTAGAAGCTCCATTGAACCACAGTGATGGAGACAAACAAAGAAGCTGAGCAACAGGTTCAAACAGCTCAGGCTTCATGTTTACTTAACAACACTGAAGGTTTTAGCAGCAGCCATCTTGGCTGCCTGTTAGCCAGCCTTCCTGTTTCTTCATGCTGAGCTCTGACTCTCCAATATCCAGATGACCTTCTGACACTAAACAGTCATCAGACCTGAGGAAACCTTGAACCTTCCGCTACATTCAGATGCTACAATATTCTATCAGTCTTTGAAGGAAAGTTTAGTTTTCTCTGCAGCATCTGATAGAGCTGCAGCATCAGAGACTCAAAGGAACTGAAGCAACTGATGAAGAGGCTGACTGAGCTGGATGAAGGACACTATTGATGATTCTATAGAGAAGAATGACCTGTTCAGAGGTCTAACTCAGGTCAGACTCCTGTCACTAATTTCATGACTTTAGACTTGATGAAATCATTCATGAACCTGATGAAGGAGACGAAGCGTGAACTGTAATATAATGTCAGATCTTCTACTGTTCAGATGTTGCTAACAATCATCAGTTCCTAACTTCTCCTCTCCTCTCTTACAAGATGTGTGGTTCCCGTTGGGAGGGGGGTTGCCCCTATTTTAGGGTAACTTCACAGATAAAATTCATCAACAGATAATAAAAAAAACTCAATAAAGAAAATACTAGGGATTTATTGTTTAGCCCAGTTGGAGGCAGGAAGAAGGAAGGTTACATCTCTAATAAACCAATGGAGTAGTAAATATTCTGTAAATGAATTAAAAATCCCTACATACAGTTTCTTTCACATAGAAACATTTAATTTTGCCCATCAGATGCTGTGGGAAGATGATGCTGAAAGCTGAACTGAAGTCCAGGAACATCATCCGCACATGGGTGTTCTTCTCCTCCAGGTGTGCCAGGCTCAGGTGGAGAGCAGCAGAGATGGCATCCTCAGTGGAGCAGTTCTGTCGGTAGGCAAACTGGAACGGGTCGAATAATGGTGGCAGACTGGATATGATGTGTTCTTTAACCAGCCTTTTGAAGCACTCCATCAGTGTCAGAGCAACAGGCCGGTAATCATTGTGTCAGGGTTTGGTTGTGGCAGAGGACCCAAATGCAGAGGCAGAGAGGCTGAGGAGATTTCTTGGGAGTTTAATGGGGCAAAAAACAGTAACAAAGGCTGGAATGCAAAAATCCAAACAATAATCAAAAGCAAACCAGAACGATGGAGACATGTGGGGGAAACCAAACTCGAGGAGCCAGGGAGAGACGAGGAACGTGGATAACAGCATGGGAGGACAG